CAACTTACAATCAGACGCAGTTTCCAAACTATGTTGGATTAACAAATGCAGAGGATGCTGCTTTGGAGATTAACCAGTATATTCCATTATTTTCAATCCAATGTTCTGAGCACTTAGCTGATTTCCTCTGTGCATTGTATTTTCCAAAATGTGATGATGTTCCTGGTATACTTCCACCATGTCAGTCATTGTGTCAATCAGTCTACGATGGATGCTATCCTGTAATGAATAATTTTGGATTTCCGTGGCCTGATAAATTAATATGTGATACATTTCCTGATTCTTATGACTCGGAAGTTTGTTTTGGAACTGTTATGTCAGATCAGGATACTACAACACCAGCACCGACTACACTATCACCATCAGTAGTCCTATCATCAATGCCAACCAGTACAGGTGAGCATTAACTCTTCGAATACTAAATTTTAACTCATCATGTGTATCTGGACCAAAATAATCAAAAAAAATATTAGTATCTTTTTTGTGTACTTACGTTGTCTGTTTTAAGCCCTGAATAACATTTACTATATATAAATCAGCAGTATTGTTTGTAATGCTATTAAGCTGATATCATTATTGCTTTTTTGTTAGCAAAACAGTGAACTACTGTAGAATACTTTATTTTCGCTTGGAATTTATTTTCAAATAAAATCCAGAGAATATACTTTTTTCCTATATTTCACATGCAACATGTCAAAAATCAGTGAAAATAAATTCCAAACAAAACACCCAACAAGCCTTTTCAGCTAAAATTAATTCCAGCTAAAATAAAGTATTCTATAGTATATTGCAATATTGCGAGTTGGCTTGCTTGTTCGTTCACAGCAGTGGTTATGTAAATTTAATTTAATAAATTTAAAATTCTGTGGCGACACGATTATATTTTTAGTCCCCGTTCGGACGCAGTCTGAAAACAGGGACTTATGTTTTGACCTACGTGCGACCGTGCGTGCATGCGTCCGAACCTGTATCTTTGAAATGCCTTGACCAATCACAATCAAACTTCACACATACATCATATATGATATTATACATATGCACATCAATTTGTTTCACGATCTGATTTAAGATGGCCGAATGGCGGCCAATTTTGTGCTAAAAAATCATAAAAATCAAGCATTTCTAGGCTGTTTACAAATGGATTTTGTTCAAACTTGGTATATACATTAGACATTGTGTGACCTTGATGCAAATAATTTTGTTTTCAGATTAGATTCAAAATGGCGGACTGGCGACCATTTTGTTTTAATGAATGTGGTTCTCGTGCCATATGTCTGACTTGCTTTCACTGATTATGTTAAATATTCATTTTACATCATGTCATAGATAGACAGATATATTGGTTTGACGATCCTATTCAAAATGCCATTTCTGTGCTAAAAAATTATCAAATATCAAGCATTTCTGGCATTTATGGATGGATTTCGTTCAAACTTGGTATATACATTAGACATTACGGGTTCCTGATGCACATCATTTTATTTTCCAGATCAGATTCAAAATGGCTGTCTGGCGGCCATTTTGTTTTAATGAATGGGTTTCCAGACCCATATGTCTGACTTGTTTTTGACTGATTATGTTCAAATTTTTAATATTCATTATACATCATAGATATACGAATATATTGATTTGACGATCTTTTTCAAAGTGGCCAAATGGTGGCTATTTCTGTGCTAAAAAAATCCTCAAATATCAAGCATTTCTTGCATTTATGGATGGATTTTGTTCAAACTTATAACATACATTAGACATTACAGGTTCCTGATGCAAGTAATTTTATTTTTCAGATTGGATTCAAAATTGCTGATTGGCGGCCATTTTGTTTTAATGATTGGGCTTCTAGAGCCATATCTCTTAAATGCTTTGACTGATTATATTCAAATTTCATATATTCGTTATACATTATGTTATATATATATACATGTATTCAAAATGGCTGATTTTGAATGCTGTTCCAGAGCAATATCTCTCAATATGGACAAGTACTTGTTTGACGATCAGATACAAATGTCAATCATTTTAATGTTAAAAAATCATATTTCTGACATAGTTATATTCCAGCTATATTACTATAAACAAAACTATATATCTTAAATTTGATAACTAACGGGGACTGTGCCATGCATGGCTTGTCTTTTTCGTATTAAGAAAAAATATGTTAAATTCGTTTGAATACATGTAGGCACTTTGAATAAAAACCTGCATTAGATCAACAAAACATCCTCTGAAACAAAAAACAAATATCTCCCCATTCTACCATATGTGGTGCTACATGTATATATGACATTGACCTAAATTGACCTAACCATGACCAAATAAAAATGGTTACCCAGACTCACAACATTTTTAAAATGAAACTTTTTCCGTCATTCCAGCTTCTTCTCAACAGTGCCAAGACATTAGAGTGTCTGATTGTCAGGGACTGTCCTACTCACAGACTGGTTTTCCAAACCTATTTGGTCATCAAACACAGGAAGAAGCTCAAACTGTTTTACAAGAATATTCATTACTTCTTTTGATTGATTGTTACGAACATTTGAACTTAGCCATATGTGCCGCATTGTTCCCTCGCTGTGTTAATGGCAGCATCATACCACCTTGTCAGTCACTGTGCCGTGGTGCACAAGAAGGATGTAGTGCTATGTTGGATCATTTCAACCAGGAATGGCCAGAGGAACTTGAATGTTCAACATTCCCAGACGCTAATGATGAAGACGTGTGTGTTGGATACCAACCAGTTGGTGAGTGTGTACAAGTTTTCCCATACCAAAGAATAATAAGAAAAGTACATTTCTATTAGCTCTCTCTATCACAAATTTTAACTTAAACTTGAAAAATTATACCTAATATTCATGAATATATGCATAATATTTACACTGCTCTGTACTGTAATGTTGTGGGCTTGCATTTTATGCCTTACAACAGTGCAATTACAATCTACTGTGGTAAAGGGGCAATTGTACAATATTTATTACTCGTAGTACATGTATTTCCCGGAAAAGGTAAAAATGGTCATGTACATCACAAAACTAATAAAGAAAGAAAAAAATCAACAACAACAAAACACTATTAATGCTCCCAATTAACTAATCTGGTATTAAGACTAAATTTGTGTATTTGCATGTATTTTAAATAATTAATAAATTACACAGTCAAGTATAACTTGATATAATTTTTATTTCAACCACTGGAATTGGTTATTTGTAATTTAAAGTTACTGAAATTTAGATTCTTTCAATTTTAACTTTTATTGGCTGCCTGTAAAAAAGTGAAGGGAAGATCATAGTACCCCAGTAGTTGCAAAATGTCTGTTGTCTGTTGGTGTCATCATTGTAAACTTTTCTTGCAATAATATTCAGCTGATTGCTATCACACTTGTGTATTGGATAATCTGCAGGTATAGTTGACCTGTATAGATTTTAGAGTTGATCTTCCAAAACTGTAATTTTTGAAAGTGTAGTTAAGATCATTGCTTTGCAAGTAGAAGATTGGGAGATGAAATCCCATACAAGAAACTTTTGTTTTATACTTCTTTCTTTCTTTTTTAGCTCTGCTGTCGACTTTGTCGAGCCGAGCTTATCATATGAGTGATTGTCCGTCATTGTCCGTGTCAATGTTTTACTTTTTCGACTTCTTCTTGAAAACTACAAGCCTGAATGCTTTGATACTTGGTGTATATGTACCTTGGGTAGACCTTTCTCAGATTTGTCCAATTGCTTTGATATTACATATATAGGTACTACATGTGGACCTCTCTCAGATTTGTTCATTTTGTAATGATATCTTTAATTTTCTAATTTTGGTGAATATTTTTGTCATTTTGGTAAAAAGTGATATTTTCGACTTCTTGTTAAAAACCTCAAGTCCAATTGCTTTGATATTACATATATAGGTACTACATGTTGACCTCTCTCAGATTTGTTCATTTCATGATGATATCTTTAATTCTCTAATTTTGATGAATATTTTTGTAATTTTTGGTAAAAAGTGATTTTTTCGACTTCTTGTTGAAAACCGCAAGTCCAATTTACTTTGATATATTATACATATAGGTACTACATGTGAACCTCTCTCAAATTTGTTCATTTTCTAATGATATCTTCTGTTCTTTAATTCCCATTTACATTACTAACAGCGGAGCTATCTCAGCCGACAGGCTGCTTGTTTTATTTTTGAATGAGAATTTCTCTAATTTTCATATGTTGTTTGTATATGTATGGGGGGGGGGAGCAGTTGATACATAGCTGGCTAGGAAGGTGCCCCTGAGTGCTCAAAAGTGTGACCATTTTTATACTTGGATAGTGGCAAAATCTATACCCATATTTATACCAAAGTACCATCATATGAGTGATTGTCCGTCATCGTCCGTGTCAATGTTTTACTTTTTCGACTTCTTCTTGAAAACTACAAGCCTGAATGCTTTGATACTTGGTGTATATGTACCTTGGGTAGACCTTTCTCAGATTTGTCCAATTGCTTTGATATTACATATATAGGTACTACATGTGGACCTCTCTCAGATTTGTTCATTTTGTAATGATATCTTTAATTTTCTAATTTTGGTGAATATTTTTGTCATTTTTGGTAAAAAGTGATATTTTCGACTTCTTGTTAAAAACCTCAAGTCCAATTGCTTTGATATTACATATATAGGTACTACATGTTGACCTCTCTCAGATTTGTTCATTTCATGATGATATCTTTAATTCTCTAATTTTGATGAATATTTTTGTAATTTTTGGTAAAAAGTGATATTTTCGACTTCTTGTTGAAAACCGCAAGTCCAATTTACTTTGATATATTATGCATATAGGTACTACATGTGAACCTCTCTCAAATTTGTTCATTTTCTAATGATATCTTCTGTTCTTTAATTCCCATTTACATTACTAACAGCGGAGCTATCTCAGCCGACAGGCTGCTTGTTTTATTTTTGAATGAGAATTTCTCTAATTTTCATATAATGTTTGTATATGTATGGGGGGGGGGGAGCAGTTGATACATAGCTGGCTAGGAAGGTGCCCCTGAGTGCTCAAAAGTGTGACCATTTTAATACCTGGATAGTGGCAAAATCTATACCCATATTTATACCAAAGTACCATTTCTGTCATCACTGTTTATTACACATAAAACAGTTAACTTACTGTAGAATACTTTATTTTCGCTTGGAATTTATTCTCACTATTTTCGCTGAAGGGATGATTCCGTGAAAATTAAATCCAGCGAATATACTTTTTTTCCTATATTTTGAATTAAACTCATCGAAAATCAGTGAAAATAAATTCCATACAAAACGCCCAAAAAGCCTTTTCAGCGAAAATTAATTGCAGCGAAAATAAAGTATTCCACAGTATTTGCTCTACAGGTATATCAAATCGGAAAAATATTACCGATATGTACCCCCCACCCACAGGTTTTACCATGTGTATGCTTATAATAGTTGCGCAATGTTAGAATTACTGCTTGCATTTTTTTGACAGTATGTCAGAATCCAGGATCTGTTGCATCAGCTACTTTAAGTGTTCCTTTGGAAAGTTATCCAGTTCACGTTGGCACTGCTCTCACCATAGAGTGTGATTCGGGTTATATTCTGTCTGGAGCATCTACGTTGACATGTACGTCAGATGGCACTTGGAACCTCCCGCTTCCAAGCTGTGTTAGTAAGTATAGTGTTATCAATTGTAACCATGGAAACCATATTTTGGTAAGCATAGAATATGTCTGTCTAAATTAAATAGATTTATTCTTGAAAGTTTTTACAATACAAACCCCCTCCTCTTACTGTTATCTTTGGAGTGTTTGTTTCATTTTTAAAAAATTTGGGAAATATCACTTTGAAACCCTTTGAAAAAGGAAAAAAGCTTTTAATGTCTTATGTAGGGAAATGTAATTATTTCCAATTTCAGGCCTTTATGCGAAAATCATGATGTAGATTTTATTGTAATTCTACCAACCTGTATGAGAAAATCTATATACCGGGGTATAATTGGATTTGCCTTATTTTCTTATTTGGCTTATGTCTGTGGAGCTTGAGCAGGCAGGTTACGTGTCTGTATGAGAACAAATACTTTTTGATTTGTATGCAAAGTTCATATGATACACATAGTTTCTAATTGTTTGTTCTAACATTTACTACTATATCATGCATGTCAATTTACTTTTCATTGTTCTCTGCAGTGATTGTTATTGTTATTGTTTATAGGCAATTGTAATGATCCTGGCACCATAGCCCATGGATTTCAGGTTGGGACACCCAGTTATGAAGCTTTCACCATTGTAACCTATATGTGTGATGCTGGATATCATCTCAGTGGGGCCCATGTACTGACGTGTCTTGAAGGCGAATGGAGTCATCCACTCCCTCAGTGTCTTGGTGAGTTTTTAAATGTCTTACTCTTAATGTCAATGTCTCAGTAAAGCTTTGTTTAATTGTTTCTACTTTGACCACATGAACAATTCCCGCAAGTGTTTTCAATATATGCTTTTGTACATTTTACCAACCAGACTGCTAATGATCATCTGTGACCACATTGCCAAAATGTTAATGTTCTATGACTGGAACATATATATTTATATTTAATAACAACAGCATTTAATAGGTGAAGCAATTATTCTTTTTCTTCAGATGTAAAAAAATTATCATTTCTTACCAACCACTTCCTGTACACACAAAACTTAAGTGCAATAAGTGCAATGGCCTACCTGTACAATAAACCAATTTAATTTTGTGTGAGAAAAGTTTGTGACCAATCAGAACACGGCTTACAGAACTGCATCACTGGTTGTCTAAAAAAAGTACTGTACTGTAGGGCACTGATTGGCTGCAGGTGTAAAATCCTTGATCATTTCGAGTCAGTTGTCTAAACCACAAGTGCCCAGTTCTCGATTAATCACTAGTAATGTGAAAAATGATTAATACACATATTAAAAAAAAATTGAATACCAACGCTTCATTCATTTACAGTATTGTGTATTCAGGTTGTGTCCCAGTTGCAAGATGATACCTATTTTCATAGTCAATGACATGGGATAGTACTTTAGGTATTTTTTATGGCTTCAGTTCAGAAATGCTGTTCAGCACACTCAGGATGATGACTGTGATCCTTTTCATAGTAGCTATAGTGAATATGTCTTGTTAACATTGACTTTGATAAGTTTAAATGTTTCATTCTTTGTTTCACTGCTTCTATTATACTATAATTCTCATAAAACTCTGTGTTCACTTCATTTGCAGTATTCTGTGAAGTTATCAATGCACCATTCTGTCTTCATAATCTTCCATATTTCTTGACCGGGTTCCCTAACTTTGCCGGGCACTCATCGCAACAACAATCCAACATCTATTTGGAGGTCTATAAGCCTATCATGTCATCTGACTGCTACGAGCACCTTCAGCTCTTGCTCTGCACTGCGTTCATGCCTCCATGTCGGCTTGGGCAAATCCAACCACCTTGTAGGTCATTCTGTGAAGAGGGCCTCGCAAATTGTCTTCAAGTGTTTCAAGATGTGGACCTCCCATGGCCGCAGGAACTAAACTGTTCTGTTTTGCCCAGTGATTCATCCTGTGTGCATTCTCCTTCATTGCCCACTACACAGCCACCATTTTCAACTAAGCTGCTTACAGAGAGTGTTTCTACTTCTCAGCTAGGTACATGTATGTTTTCTCTATACAAACATGCATACATGAGGGGTGGTGGTCATTGCATTTGATATAGGTCTCATATTAACCCTTTGAATTCCAAACTTTTTTCCCACTTAAATTTCAGTAGATTTCTTCATATTTTCTGTAATTTTCTCTGAATTCAATCTTACTTTTGGACAAAACTGACAAAATGTGACATGCTTTTAGTTTTTGATCGAAATTTTTGAAATTTACGCAACAATTCATGTGGAAAAGACTATAAATGGAATTGTTAATGTGAAGCTGACTATGGTACTCAAACGGTTTAACAAAGATGGGAACTTTGATTGTTGCATAGATCATACAAAAATCATTGAGGCTTAACTAGGTATTTTCTGGGATGATTGGAATGCATCAAAAGTCTCTAAGGAGTCAAAGTTGGTATTTTATTATTTCATCTTGTGACCAGATCAAAACTCGTATAATTTCATGCTTGCCTCTGGGAGAGTGCATTGGATTGTGGGAAAATCACTGTTTGAGCACATTGGTTGTGGGAAACATTAGGACGTGGGTGCTGCAAAGACCACTTCTCATTAAATGAAAAAAGATGTTGTTTCAATAGTCAACAGATAATTAAATTAAACATTACATTATGTTCCCATTAAAAGTACTGTAAATAAGAGCAACCATGCTAAAATATATTTTTAATCACTAATAGCTACTCCAGATTTTGTGTGACCCGACCAAAGCTTGTATTCTTCACTGTCTGAGCGCATTGGGTTGTGGAACACATTCACACATGCATGCTGCAATGACTTACCTCCCTTGGCTAATTTTAAGTGAAAAGTCTGTTTGAGAATTCAATTTTAGCGAAATTCAGGTATTGTACTTAGTTGGACATTGAGAAAATTTAACAGTAAACATAGGTTTTTGTGATTGTTATTAGTTTCATTCTCTTTCTAGCTCTTTCTCCCCAATGCGAAGATATTACGGTATCATTTTGTCAGGGACTGTCATACTCACAGACTGGTTTCCCAAACATGTTTGGCCACCAAACTCAAGAAGAAGCAGAGGTCCTTTTACAGGAATATATACTACTTACACTGACTAACTGTTACGAACATTTAAACTTGGCCATATGTGCCACGTTGTTCCCGCCGTGCGTGAATGACAACATCATACCACCGTGTCAGTCACTGTGTCGTGGCGTACAAGAAGGATGTGGTACCATTTTGGATCAGTACAACTATGAATGGCCGGAGGAATTTGAATGTTCAAACTTCCCAGATGAAGATAATGAAGACGTATGTATTGGATACCAACCAGGTATGGATTTTTTTTTTCTATTTGAAGGATACCTTAAACATCAAAATGCAGCAAATGTCAAATTTGTTTACTCCTATACATGTAAGCAGTTACCATATTTTTTCTTGTAGCATACTGCAAAATACTTTATTTTCGCTTGGAATTAATTTTTGCTATTTTCGGTGAAGGGATATTCAGTGAAAATAAAATCCAGCGAATATACCTTTTTTCCTATCCCTTGAGGGATATTTTACATTCAACTCATCAAAAATTATAGAGCAAATTATACAGTACATTTACTATTAGTTTTTGGCTTGTGAATGTTGCAAGAAGGGATGTCTATTGTCATTTTGACCACAATTGAACTACTGTAAAATTCATTTATTTTCGCTTGGAATTAATTTTCACTATTTTTGCTGAAGGGATAAATCAGTGAAAATAAAATCCAACGAATATACATTTTTTTTCTATATTTTACATTCAACTCGTCAAAAATCAGTGAAAATAAATTCCATACAAAACACCCAAAAAGACTTTTCAGCGAAAATTAATTTCAGCTAAAATGTTCAGATCTGTCTGTAAAATAATAACATTCAATTGGGGAATCTTTGACCAACAACAAACACATGTATATTTTAATATTTACTGGTATATTTTGTATGAATTGTTTACCTGTATTTCATAACAGAGTTTATTCTCTTTCTCCTATGCAATGAAATCTGTGGTATGCAGAAGTGACAACTGCAACAAGCGAGTCAACGAGCAAGAGAGGAGACATCCGTTGCCAGGGCGATTATCATTTAACTTATTGTAAAAATGATGGAATTTGTTATGTTCTTAAAGGAGATGATGGTACACAGGAAATGTATTGTCTGTAAGTCAAATTTTTATCCACTCACAATTGTTGGGTTACGGTAGTAATACCACCACTTATGCGGATGGTTTTGTATCAAAAAAACTGAATGGATTGTTTGACAAAATTACTCCTAATGTACTCAAGTCTATGTGCCTGAATATAACCAAGTGTGATAAATCCTTTATTAGTAGAATATCTCTAATATAATTGCCTTCAAGCCAAAAACATTTATTTGACTACACACAATGCCTTATCTTATGTTTTACCTGAGCATTTACATTGAAAAGTATCCTTCTTACGACCTTAAAAATGCTGTGGAAAAACAATGTTATAGGTCTATAACATGCTGTCCCATTTTATACATTTGGGCACTTGCCGTCAGATTAAAATCTGATGTTAGGTATTGGTTCATTCTTAGACTTGCTTGCAGTCTGTTGTGATTCTGATGAAAAATTTGTGAAAAATAAATATAAATTGCATAAACGAGGGGTTAATGCAAAAGTCCTGTGGTCACAAAATTCTAACAGATTTGCCGTCAATGTAAGCACCCTCACATTACCATTGGAATCGCAACAGACTGCAAGCAAGTCTTGTTCATTCTGGGAACCATCCTACGGTACATTATAACAGAATAAATAAAGCTACGCATGGCTTTAACCTACAGTGCATACATGTAATATACATGTTACAGATTACTTTGTTGGCAGCTTTTCTTTAGGTAACATGATGAAAGTGCTCAGTGTCATATATTTCTTCTTTTTATTTTATCTCCACAGTTGTTCTGGTAATTTTACTGGGCAGCAATGTGAAAAAAGAATATTAACCAAAGCAGAGCAGGAAAAACTAGGTAAGTTGAGTAAAGTTTTAGGAAATTTGCATAACATAACGTTTTAATATTCCAAGGCAAAATCATGCATACAAAATCCTGTGCATTTTTGAATGGCGAAGTTTCAAAACCAAAACATGCCTTAGGCCAGACTTTTATTATCCCTTGTTTTGCGAACCCACCGAATGAACAGGAGCTGAAAATGAAATAAAAATAAAATTTTATTTCAGCGTAATTTTTTGCACCCGCCGACTTGTAAGCGCAAAGAAATATTATTTTTATCTTCATTTTTTTACCGCCCGCCGCATAACAAATCCAAGTTGCATTTTCATGGGAGTATCATGATCAAAGTACCGAAGTCTCACACAGATGAGAAATAAGGTTATACATGGAATAAAATTTTATTTCATTTCTTCTCTCCGATCAATGATCTCACTTACAATTCTTTGAGAATCACACAAATCCAATGGAAAAAAAGAATTAATTTTATTTTTTTCCCGCCCTCCTCAAAAAAAATGCCTTATAAAAACTCGAGAAACGAGGAATAAAAAAAGTCTGGCCTTACCAACAATTACATGGGCTTCTAGAGCCATATTTATTAAATGCTTTGACTGATTATATTCAAATTCACTCTATTTATGTAACTCAAAGATCATGTTGACTCAGTATGACAAAGATTAAAAAATATGTAAAAAGTATCGCTCATGGCTGATTGAATGAAATTTGTCAAGGTAATTTTTTGAATAGTAAACTTTCTTGCACATCACATATTAAATCTCTCATTTATATTATTTCCATTCAGAAGAAGAAGCTAAAAAGGAGGCTATTTCTCTAGGTATTGGGATTAGTGTAGCATGTATTATTGGTGTTACCATGGTGATAGTATTAGTATTAATCTGCAGGTTAGTTACTATTAACGATGGTTTGTACAATTTGTTAATGATGGATGTGATTAAATATTTAATCCTCTGATGCCATAATCTTTCTCAAAAAATGAAATTTTTACGATTTTCTGTCACAGTCACAAAAAACACACATGAAACTGAAATATGTAATTTCAATGTACCATTATGTGAAATTTTGTTTTAAAAAATGTAGTTTTGCTAGGTCACTTGTTCATGTGGTCTTGTATATGCAAATACTTGTACATCCGATGAAACTTAACTTTTTCACTACTTTCTCGCCCAAATTTGTCCACACTTTTTTCTCATATTCTTGAATATTTCCAGAAATGAACCCTAATTTTGGAGCCAACAGACACAGTTTGAGTCAATTTTCAGTTTTTACTCAAAAATTTTGCTATTTTTGTCCCAATCTTCTGCAGGAAAGTGCAAACTTATAAACAGGACTATTTTGTGAATTTGTGATGAAAAGAGGGAACTGGTAGCAAAAAGGTTAACATTGCATACTGAATGATTACATGACCTCCCTGGTATTGGGATATGCTGAATTTGTATCTAATTGCCGGCCATTTAATCGTCGGAAATGTTTCCAAAGTGATATTGTTTGTAATTACATGTTTCAGAATCGACCTATGAGCTCTTCACACTTTGGAAGGTAATTATACTATTTGAGGGTTGTATACCACGATGAAACTGAGAATTGACTCAAATTTTGTATGTTGGCCCAAAAATTAGGGTTCATTTCCCAAAATATTGAAAAATATAAGAAAAAAGTGCAGACAAATTTGGGCAAGGACGTCTGGTGGTTGAGAAGGTTAAAATAATATAAAAGCTTGTCCTAGAGTTATTTTTTTTTGTCCAATACAACTATAAATAGTGATCTCATTTTCTGCCTTACACCAGAATACCAGTACATAGATTTTATTTTGTATGAAGGACACAGGCTAGTAATAAATAAATGAATACTGCATCTGTATTTTGTGAATTGCTCATTTGCCAAGTGAGATCGGAATTTACAATTACATGTGGACACTTAAAATACTCAGTCTATTGGTAAACAATACAGTAAATAGTAAAGGGTCTGGAATGTTGCTAGGCTGGTGTTTAGTAGGCATCAGAATAATAGGTAATAAATAAACAAAATATATTTTGAATATGAGGATTTTATTAAAGTTGGATCTGTTAATTTGTTTGAATTTGAACCTTGTAGTGTAAGTCTTTGGTCAAGATGGTCCAAATACCAGAAAACATTTTTGTCATGGCCATTCAGTGGTGTATTTATACAGGATTGGTGTCTAGGAAGAATGTCAATCTAGGTCAACAAAGGTCATCCATGTCAAAGGTGAACATAGGTCAAAGGTCAATCCCGGCATCCACATTTGGTGCATACCGACCACCATTTTTTTCCATAGTCATAATGCAGGTTTTTGTTATTTTTAATACGCAATGTTTTGTTGTTTCAGAAAACATGTAAGCCGCAAATCAAGATATTTATTGAGCCGTCCAGATATTGCAGTGTTCACCAATCCGGCATATGATGAACAGTTTACAGATGGTAAAGGCAGCGCAGTGAAAAGTAAAAACAAGGTGAGATGTACAGTACTTCTTATGTTCATTTTGTTTTCTAGTATAGTTAAATCGGTATTTCACAAATGATTAAGCAAAACATAATGTGATTATACATGGAGGCGTTCAATTTCGACAAAAAATTGGTAAAACAAGCGAAAAAACTAGAATAGTGTGTTTATACCTGGGGTTGGAATACTTTAGCATGGGTTTTTCTCAGGCTATAAACAACTTCAGGATTTACTTGAAGTCGAATATTGTCAGCATTTTCATGTCACTTCTGTGTTTAGTTAGTTCTCATAGGTGTGACAAATTTGTTATTATCGTATACCTAGTATTGCCCAGCCTTGTAACACTATGAGAAGTGCGCCCTCACATCAGGGCAATAATTTCCCTGGCCCAGCGCGCCTGGTTTTCATCAATAAAAATAAAACATTTCATTCTAAATAACGTTGCATATTTGAGGTCACGCCATGGTACCTTGTAGTTACACCCCAATAAAACATTTGATAAAACCTTTATAAGATTAATATTAAAAAAATTGCTGTTCAAATTCACTTTTGTCATTGCATTCACTGTTATATGGTTGCTATGGTTATGAAGATCAGTAAACGTGATGACAGAATAGAACACTATTTGAAAGGCAGAAACGAGTCTTGTCGGCCTCTCACTGTCAACGATATCCTGGCAGCCATTAGCATCTAAAGTCTGTTGTAGTAACAGCATTTATTAGTTGTGGAGAGTCAAACCAATTTGTGAATCATGGGTAATTTTAATTGCTTACTCCTTTTTGTCCAGGACAGTGAAGCAGTACAGGTGGATGTAGATCCTGTAACTGAAGCCAATCAAAATGACAACACTGGTGGTCCCAATGGTGCAAATGTGAATGGCTATAATGGGCCATACCAAGAGGAACCACGAGATGCAGTTTTGGAAAACAAATATGCAGAGTGTGATGATCCAGCACTGAAGCATGCACCTTTCTGTGAACCTGTAGAAGATGTACCGTCATCGCCCGGTTGTGAGTCTGCAGAGGGTGAAGGTCAAAGGTTGAGCGCTGTTTGGAACCCACATTACCAGGAACTTGATGGGACCCAAAAAGTTGACAGCGAGTATATGTCATTAGACAAAACCAAGACGACAGATTGATGATCACAGATCTGTGTTCGTTTGCAGGCAGAGACCTACCATTCCAGTTGATGTCACTTGTAATAACCATCTTGGATACTATTATATTCACATTGCATGATTCCGATTTGCTTAACATTTTTGGGAAGATCACGTTATGTGAAGATCCCAAGCTAAAGGAATTTAATTGTAAAATGCAATATTTTTAATGCTTTAATTACTGCTCTGTTACATTTCCTGGACAAGAGCAGGAATAAAATCACTTATTTTTATATGTATTTATTTACATACTCCTAATTGAATGGTCTTTTTAGGTTTTTAATGATTGCAATAATGTTGTCCTAGATTTAACGGTTGACCATAAAGTAGCACTGTAGTCAGAACTGCATGTGTGTATAGGTAGGGTTCACACAACAATGAATTACATATTGCTAGCATTTACAAGCTAGTAAGAATTATGTGTCATGCAAGTATCAGTCAGCAATTGACTGATACTGATCACGTTATAGGATCTTGGCAAGTGCCGAAATGTTTAATTCTTAGTGTTTGCAGAAGGATTACAGCAGTTGTGTTCATGTTAATAGTCAAGACCCAATTCAGACCTATTCAGTCTGTGATGAAATCATGCCCTCATTCGTCCATCTGTTATTCGATCCAAACAAGCCAGACGATATATATATATATATATATAATGATGATGATGATAATTATTATTATTACTTTAATGAATCTGTACTGTGAATGCCACCGATGTTTCTGTTTATTACGTTTTAATGACTGTGTATAATGCTGAATGTAGGGAAAGAAAAGCCTGAAAGAGAAGAACAATAATGATTGACGAGAGTGGTATTTATCACAAAACCACAGCAACTCTTTTTTTTTTCTTTTTTTATACAAGTTCAGTCCATGTAGCCATTTCATAGTGAATAGTTGACAAACTTTTAATTTGTGTCACATACAGATTAAAATATATATTTTATCAACCATATTGTGATATTTTTTTTTGGGGGGGGGGGATATTTTCAATTGTTCTGTGATTCCAATTTGTGAGCATATCAATTGAATTATTGATTTTTGTTTATATCATACGCTACATTTGAATTAATCTTAACAATTTGTATAGGTTATTTTTATTTTTATTTCCATTAAGGCTATGGTTAAAAATGTAATCCTGAATTTTACTTTGAAAGATTTTTAAGCATTGTCTCAATTCTTTAACTTGATAAGCTGTATTTTTATAAATACTTTTATAACAATTTCATAAAATGAATAAATCTTTTTTATAAACATGACACGATGGTTTTCCATTATATTGTAACAATTGATTAAAACAGTCATGTGCTACCCTTTTGGCATATTAATCTTATTCCTGATTGTTTTGAAAAACTGACAAACTTAAAACTGATGCATAACAGTATAGTCTGGTCACATGTATGTATCAAGAATATAGACAACTAAACGAAATGTTTATGATATTCTCGGCAAAATCATGTTCAGACCACAATATTCCTAAGCAATGTAAACAAATATTTGTGTCCATATTCTAAAATTTGACAGTGTAATGCTACTACAGAATAAGTAAATTAGCCATTCGTTTTTCACTCGCCGGTTTCCCAATGATTTCCTCGGCATGTTAAAGCCCCATAAATTGACAATCCGTGGTCGAGAATAAACAACAAATAATCTCCCAGCTGCTTTTACATGCAACACATGATGCTCCAAAGCATCATTGTCATGGTAACTGTGCATTGCTCACAAAACAACGAATAATTACAGCGACCAGTTTTTAAAAGAACTGCTTAAAACCTGGTGCGCATACAGCCAAGCCAGTAAAAATGACAATCTACTGGTCAAGCTTGGTCATACCCATAGTTTTTTTTTGAGTAATTAAATAACTTGAGCTGTGCATACTTACAATGAGATAAATTTGATAATTTATAGAAAATACCTTGAATTTTCAATTCTCCATTCATTGAAAAATTAAGATGTATAATGAGCTGATGTCCCTTAATAATCACATTTCCCAACTTTACTGCTAGAGGGCATTAGACCCAATAAATATTCCCCCTATTTTTTGACCACATAAATTGTGTATAATACATGGAAGGTAAGATGCATTACTAGTATACAGCTTCAAATAAAAAAAACATTTTTAAGATCTGATTATGTATTGCATTTTAAATATCATTGGATGAGATTTACTGTGCATTGGATGCATTTGGTGCATAATTTTCCTAAACCCAGTTGTAGGTAAATATTCTACCATAAATTTACATGACCATGCTAAGTAATGGACTAAATAAAAACAATGAATTTGATTTGCATAATGATTGAACCAGTTTCACATATTAAAAGGGTCTTCAATAAATTAGCATTGCGATGCATAATTATCATGTTATCAATCACTGAAATTGCTCAGTTTTGTCGCTTTCTGGACAACAGTCCACCACTGTTTTTCACAGAATAACATTCCCAGTATACCAAATACTAACTTGTACATGTATAAAGTATGATCCAAAAGGTGTACATGTTACTATAAATTAGTTATTTATCTGCGGCTGCATAGAGTTTTATTACATTTTAACAATTAAAAATATCTTTTAATTGTTCATCTCGATAATGGCGTACAAATTATTACCTCATCTATTTACATCTAAATATATCATGTCTAAATAAAAAAGTTCCAGACAATTTTTAGTTACAGTCAAAAGATGGCAAACCGATCAGTGAAGTCGAGTCTATCTTGAAAACTAGGAGAAATTTAACTATTCCGAGCCTCGCTTTCCAATATCATCTTGTAAGCTAACAGTACTAAAATAAACACAGAGGGGATGAACCAGAAACATCCAATCTCGCTAAGACTTTCATAATTTAAGCTCCTATTTCTTTATCCCATCATTTTGAAAACATGTATTGTCACAGTTACATGCTAATAACTGGCGAACAATGCCCTGATCATAATCATACGAGGTTATTACGAGAATACTTCAAAGTATGCATGAAGACAGTACAGCTGTAGTATTGACCGGTGCGCAGCAGGGGTTGATGTGTGGCGTACTGTTCGAGTGCATACTTTGAGGTATTCTCATGATAACCATATTATTATACATCTTTTTCTTCCAAGGATACATCATGGGAATGCCAAAATCCAAAAAGTTGTTTTTATTACTAGAGGACGCTTACACACGTAGTAATCATTCCATATTTGGAATTTGCATTTCCTTGTATAGTAGGATGAAAATACCCAGTAAATTACCGCAAAATTACGACACGCTGTAACTTAAGGCGTTACGACAACAGATGTATAATAATAATCCTTGGTAATTATTTTTAAATTTTTTTAAACTTTATTCCTCATGAAGCTGTATACTCTCAATGATAAATTTATTGAAATACTGGCAGTGTCCCTTTGATGCAGCGTACACGCGACTACTATAATGTTACTTTGTGATATACCATACACTGTACATGGTAAGTAATATTTTATTTTTATGCATATTTTGCACTTCATACCCAACAAATATCGCAACACGAAGTAGCCAAGTGTGGAGCAATGTCAATGGGAAAACAGTGGGCATACAACAACTTCATGGAATTATAACCTTATTCGCCACACGTCAGACTCACGAAAGTGCTATGGTCGTGCAGCACACATGAATTCTATGTAAACACATTATGTATGTTGGCATATCTAACATGTCTCGCATAATGGTGTTGGTCCCATGTGTCAATGTACACAATGCATACTTGCATGCTGTACAACTACAATGAATTTTACTTCTAAAAAAACATCTAAGAAATGCATGACACAGTGCCCTCTGTAGTTATTCATTGGAAGTAATGAGCTTTTTCTATTGGTGGTGCCCTTCATACGAGTAGTGGCCCTACATGGCATATGACTAACAATTTGACCCTTCGGATTTGTTGTGAACCAGGCTTCAATGTCATGTCAGGTCAATTTAGTTGCAAACACAAAAAACAAATTCATATACAAGCCACAACTTTTGTGTGTAATGGGACCATACTCAACCACTATGATTTAACACTAAGTAACCAGGAGACTAAAAATTTGATGGACAAGCAGAATGCCTGTACCATTACTAGTTACCTGCCTTGCATGGCTTGGTGCACCATGACAAACAGAAAGAAGCTAATGGGAAATGATATTCACACAAACAGATTGACAGACACGCTGCACACACTCCTACAAGCAAAATCATGAAAGAAATCCAATACATATTGAATAAACTAACAGTATTTATTTTCAAATAGAAAATGTTTACTACAAACTTAGTAGTAAATTTCTTTTTTCACTTGTAGATGATTATGATTAATGATTGAGGGAGAGCAAAATAAGAAACAAAGCACATCTGTACTTGAAAATATACATGTACAGTTGTGTTTACAAATAGACATGATATTCACATAACAGACTTGTTATAAAAACTTTCTAAACACTTATCCTGGTTCAATTTCTGCTTCGAGTTGCAACACTGAAAATGCCGTAAGCAATGTCAACCTGTTCATTTAACGCTAATTGCGACTAAAACTGAGCTTCGCGAACATAACTACACCCATAGAAAATTTTACACTCTCATTGTCTTAATTTGTTTTCTCATTAAAGAACAGTGGTTAAGGCGATCGCACATTTTACGTTACTGCTATCTGTGGTTCGGAACCTCTTTCAAATGCACGCTTTCGAAACAACCACCACTCTTTACATCCATTTTGTGTAAACAATATATTTTAAAGACGCATACGTTGCATGAGACATTAACGAACGTGATGCCAACTGTGGCACTACAGGTACTTGCATTTATGGATATACGATCTCGTGCATTCAGAGTTAATTTTTGACGTAAAAGAATTCCACCAGGAGAAAACATGCAATAATGAGAAAAACAAAAGTAAATGATTTAAGTCGTTGGCATGACATCTTGTTCTGAAGGAAAAACACTTGAGGCAGGACATCAAACAAACTTTCCAATATTCCCCATACAGATTACCATGGCAACACAAATAACATTGTTCTGTTAGTTTCTTGTATATAAACTTATAATTTTTTGTTGTTTTGTATTTTATCCAAAAAATATGGTCGTAGTAGTGGGTTTGATTTTGTAACATGCAAAATCGGTGAAATTCTAGAGATAATATTAGCGATTATATAATTTCAGTGCAAAAACCTGTTAACTATCTACACAGACCAAAAGGAAGTGTTTCATCAGGAAATGCTTTGTAATGTTGCTGTGGATTTTTTTTTTGGATGAATACTTAAAAAAAGAAAAACAAAATATACCATCATTTTGAATTCTGTATGTTAAAAATATAATTAAAAGAAAGAAAAAAATATTGATCAGATTTATATAAGTTTTGTTGAAGTTGAATTTTAACACAGGCTACAAGCTTATCTAAACTATGATGAAATGTGCTTCAAGATTGGAAGTTGAAGAATAAATATACAATAAGAAATAATTTTCAAAACAAAACAGATGTTCTACTTTGTATATTTTAAATTGCTTAGTGCAAATATATGATGAATTCAAAATTGAACACAACAGATCTATGGTGGTTAAAAATTAGACTGATAAGTAGACACAAAAAAATAACCATCTACCAACAGATATGGTGCATTTTCTCCAGTCAAAATTTTGGTTCCACAATTTCATGAATATTTCAATAACTTTGTTTTGGACTTAGTGAACAGATTTTCCCCCATTCACAACACTGACTGATCAAAATTGAGAATATATGAGGGGAAAAAATATAGTAGGCATTTTATGAAAGATGACCAAAAAGTTGAGTGGTGTTAAAAAGGTTGGAGTGTATACCTATAAACTACATACAAAGTCATTTTAAAGTAATCCACAGAAATTTACACATTTTATAATGAAAGCATCTTTTTTTCAAGTTTATGTAATTATTTACATAAATTAACATAAAAGCAGCTGCAGTTACTTTGCCAGCTGCAAGTAGGTTTGAAACACAAAAATCTAGCAGCTAATAATGTCAACATTCTAGAATTACCTAAAGTTAGCACTATCAAAATGTTGCTAAGCAACCTACATTTCCAGGCTACTGCTAAGTCCACAATGAGATTCCCATCAACTCTGGGGTAAAGTGGTCATATAGCAAAGGGGACTGGAAATGTAGTCAATATTTCTATTGTCTGTAATGCATTTATTTACAAAAAAAATTGTTAAGCATAATAAATGACTGATGGAAGAATAATGTTGCCTTGATTGAACTAAGCTCACAGGTATACCCATATAAGGGCATATCAGAGACTAGTGTTGATCTGATTGAACTATACTCCCAGGTATACCCATATATGGGCATATCAGAAACTAGTGTTGATCTGATTGAACTAAGCTCACATGTATATCCATATATAGGCATATCAGGAAATAGTGTTGATCTGATTGAACTATACTCCCAGGTATACCCATATACATGTATGGGCACATCAAAAAATAGTGTTGATCTGATTGAACTAAGCTCACATGTATATCCATATATAGGCATATCAGAAAATAGTGTTGAGTTATGCCCATTGCATGTAGAATGGATGTATTACATAGATGCATTGCATGTACTTTCTCGAACACTGTAACCGACATCCATATACAAAGAATAGAGTCTGAATATCTGTTATAACTGTGGACATGTGGATGAGGTGTGATTCGTTGTCAAATCAAACAATTGCAGTGATATGTAAATGTTACTGTGCCAAGTAAATTTCACCAAAGGACTTGAGTAATCGCGGAAATTAGAGAAAGATTGATCATTTGTAAATCTAAACTAGTACAACATCAATAAAAATAACAAGTTTTTGGGCCCATTTATTCTCTTTCTACAAATGTGTGTTTGAAATTTTCATTCAACCTGACAGATCATACCTCTATTTTAATATGAAAAAAAAATGAATCACCAAAAATTATTCTAGTAATTGATGCACAAGACAAAAATAATTTCCATTTGTATATTAATTTGCACTCTTGAAAAACATTACCACTGTGCTAGGTTATGGCACAAAAAAAAAAAGTGCAGCAACATTGCCCATGGGCAATCTTATTTGTTGGTCGATGTTTCAGCTAAATACATCAGCAGAGAAAATTAAATGGTCTACAAAATACCGTGTAAACTCTGTCGCAACGAAGTGGTTTGCCGAGTGAAAATAGGTCACCCCCCCCCCTAATTTTGACAGTGTTTTGACCTACAAGAAACCATATTAACATTACCACAGAAAGAAAAAACATTCTGTACTACCGGTACTATTCTGTAATGAGGGAAAATAAAAAGTGTTTTTGTCGCAAAGCTGATCTTCAAAGCCGGGCATAGTTTAGAACTGTTTTAGGTACATGTCTTATCACTGTTGGAGTTAACTCTAGAGCCAGGTATCGTACACATGGACTATCTGGAGAGATAATACCCATGTGGAATAAAAACTTGTCTACAAAAAATCAGTGATACAGAATTCTGAAGTTTAAAATCTTTTGATGTCAACACATCGCCTGCTTAGCTGCCGCCGCCTTTCATTCTGGCTATCCATGGACGCTTTTAGCAGGAGATGCGCTAAGTTAGACAGGCTTCACATCAATCAGCTACACAACAACTGATTTCAAATAATCAGTGAAGGTTATTCAGACACATATAGTAGCCACAGTGACTTTCATGTTAGATGCTACAGACAATGTGAGTCATTTGTAGCAGTGGTAACAGTACAGTTGGTAGATGCATATTCTCAGGAGGTGGGCATCTGGCTATTTTCACAATCTGGCAACCATGATGGTGAAAAAGACCGAAAACTCTCAGAAAACTGCACTTTGATATACTGTGGAATACTTTATTTTCGCTGGAATTAATTTTCGCTGAAAAGGCTTTTTGGGCATTTTTTATGGATTTTATTTTCACTGATTTTTGATGAGTTTAATGTAAAATATAGGAAAAAAAGTATATTTGCTGGATTTTATTTTCACGGAATCATCCCTTCAGCGAAAATAGGGAAAATAAATTCCAAGCGAAAATAAAGTATTCTACAGTAGTTGTTGAGACTCCCCTGAACAGGGTAAGATTACCACTACATGTGCAACATATATAAATCTGATTGCTTCGAATTACTTCAAAGTTGAGTTTGTGCTGTTTAAGCCATGTTCCACAGCAGCTCACACAGAGCCCATAAAAATACATGGCACAGTGGTGTGCATCTTAGAAATGTAGAACTTTCTGCGACATAGCCCCGCCCCCTGAGAATACTATTTCACACACATTGTAAACAAGTTTATAGTACACTCAAACTATAAACTAAAGAATACATAAAAAGTATAAGGCCCATTTCAGATTGGTACTTTACAATCTGTTGACTGTACAGGAAAGAAACAAGGAGGGGCGGTATATGTAGAAAAAGAAGCTAAGCTCAGCTCAGCTCAACTCAACTCAGCTCACACCTTCAAGGCAACATTATATGAACAGCACTACTGTAAACACAGTTAAAATGTTTGAGAAAAATAAATATGACAACAGATGCAATTTAGTTAATTGGCGGAAATCACAAACAAAGAAAATACTGTGAACCCCCTGTAATTGGTCAAAATTTTGAAATCATGAATTTTGATTGCAGCATTGTAGCAATGGGGTCCTGAAGAAACCAAGTCGCAGCAAATTTCGCAAAATTTTGTCGTCACGAATGCCCTTATTAAATAATCAAATTGCGGAAATTCCTAGCAGTGAAATAAAATGGTTTACAGTAATTTCCTTGTAGCATTTTAAGTGACACCGAAATCAAATGACTTGAATTGAAACATGCTGGCACAGCTGATTCAAAAATAAATGCAAAGCTATCATGTAATACATTTCACATCATCCTAGGGGATTATGACATACATTTCACATCATCCTAGGTGGTCTTGATTCCCGGGTCAGCGATGTCCATGTATAATTTAGCTAGAAGTCTACCACACCATACACACAGCAGAAGTAACTAGTATCACGTACTGTAGAGGTTCTTAGCTGTTGAACCGGTCTTACTAATAGTATCTGCATGTGCCTGTAAAAATTGTGAAAAATAAATAACAGACGAAAGTAACTCACAAAATAAGAAACTACTGTAGAATACTTTATTTTCGCTTGGAATTTATTTTCGCTATTTTCGCTGAAAGGATGATTCCGTGAAAATACAATCCAGCGAATATACTTTTTTTCCTATATTTCACATTAAACTCATGAAAAATCAGTGAAAATAAATTCCAAGCAAAACACCCAAAAAGCGTTTTCAGCGAAAATTAATTCCAGCGAAAATAAAGTATTCCACAGTATTTGTTAAGTAGCAGAAAAAAATTCACTGTGGTTCAATGACTTGATGGGCGAAGTAACCAAAATATTTGGCCATCAGTACCTCTCTCCTGATCTGGACGTTATGCTAAACCTGAGTAGTTGCACATTCATGTACAATACATAACTAGATTTGTGTTCCACTATTTGGTTAAAAATGATTACTCACATCTGAGTAAATTTGAGATGTTTCTTGTGTTGTAGCCATGGCCACCTATCCTGAAACAGTCGACTGTTTCCAACTTTCCAACTCCAGCAGAAGTAAAAGTGCACCACCAAACTATATGTTTATCATCATCATAATACTGAATAATTTAACTATACTATTAACGATATATTTTCGGTCAGAGCTTTTTTTGAAACATTTTTAGTAGACTCAGCGATGTGTATAGTAATCATGTGAGATTTTAAGCGTTTTCAAAATGATCCGAAGGTGTGACATCAGTGGACTAAACCCTTAAAATCAACAAGACGAGCAGCCTCTCGGCTGAGATAGCTCCGCTGATAGCAATGCACATTACAATTAAAGAACAAAAGAAATCATTAGAAAATGAACAATATGTATAGTATCAAAGCAATCAGACTTGAGGTTTTCAACAATATTGGAAAATATCACTTTTTACCAAAAATGACACAAAATATTTACCAAAATTAGAGAATTAAAGATATCATTACAAAATGAACAAATCTTAGAGAGGTCCACATGTAGTATCTATATATGTAATATCAAAGCAATTGGACTTGCGGTTTTTGACAAGAAGTTGAAAATATCACTTTTTACCAAAAATGACAAAAATATTCACCAAAAATAGAGAATTTGACATGAAATGAACAAATCTGAGAAAGTACCATCCAAGGTACTTGCATATCAAATTTGAAAACATTTTGACTTGCGGTTTTGAAGAAGAAGTTGAAATTGTAAAGTTGACGCTGCCAACGACGACGACGGATAATCAGTAATATGAACAGCTCCGCTGTGTCGACTTTGTCAACAGCAGAGCTAAAAAAAGTTGGAATGGACATTCTCCTTATACCATTATCCGCAGATTCTTACACCAATCATCTGCCCTCATTTATAAAAGAACTTGGAGTTAAAGACAAATGCCGAAAAATTAAAATGGTAAACAAGCAGCCTATCGGCTGAGATAGCTCCGCTGTTAGAAATGCACATTTCAATTAAAGAACTGAAGATATCATCAGAAAATGAACAATATGTATAGTATCAAAGCAATCGGTCTTACAGTTTTTAACAAGAAGTCGAAAATATCACTTTTTACCAAAAATGCTAAAAATTAGAGAATTAAA